CAGAGATCACAGCCAGTGTCTCTGGGGGCTCTGTCCAGGGGGGTTCCTGACCCTGCCAGGGTCCCAGACCTGCCAGGGCAGCCAGAGGGATGCCCTGGATCCCGACACCTGTCCTGAGCTAGAGTCCTGAATTCCCAGGGAGCACACTCACCTACTCCTCCCTCACTCCCAGACTCAGCACTCCTTGCCTCTTCCTCTCCTCACATTCAGTAAGGATTCCTCATTGCAGGTGAGCTGATGGAGACACGTGTTTATCCCAGGTTCAATTCCACCCCTGACCTTGCCAGGCAATGCCCAAGTGGGACCATCATGCCCTGTCTCCTTCCAGCCCACTCTGGAGAAAACCACTGTTTGTCTGGTTTTTTCCCTCAGAAATGTTAATTATTCACAGGTTTTTTCTTCAGCCCATCCTAGAATCGTTAAGGTTAGAAAAACTTTTTAAGATCCACAAGTCCAACCATTCCCCCAGCACTGCCAAGCCCAGCACTAACCATGTTCCCAAGTGCCACATCCACATGGTTTTTAATTCCCTCCAGGGACAATGATTCCATCACTGCCCTGAGGAGCCTGTGCCAGGGCTTGACCAGCCTTTTAGTGAAGAAATTTTTCCTTATATCAAACCTAAACCTCTCCTGGCACAACTTGAGGCCATTTCCTTTTGCCCACCGTCTTCTCCCTGCCCTCCACCTTCTCCTTTTAATGGTTTATGTGACTATTTTGGGGAGGAAATGCAGGATTTCAAGAAAAGCAATGTGGTAAGAACAAGAATTTCAGTTCTAACAGCTCTGAGGAGAAGCAAGAGGTCCCCTGGGTGGTGTGTGGGGTAGAGCAGGATGGACAGAGGGACAAGGGGCCCCCAGCCCTACCTGGCACCAAAGTGGGGCAAGCTCCTGAAGCATTTCCAAGCTCCAGGTGCTGGCTCTGGTTTGCCAAGCACAGCCCCAGGACATGTGGTCCTTTTACCTTTTTTTTGTTTTTTGTATCCAAGCCAAGGGCTCTGCAAACCTTTTCATCACAGCCATGCATAAAAACACCCTCATGATCCTTCCAGAGCTGTGAGATCTTCAAAAAATAGCCAGGTCCCTATTAAAAGCAAATCCCAGCTATACAACAGCCTCTCCAACCTCTGCCTTTCACAAAAGGACCACACAAAGAAGCCCTCCCCAGGCTGGGAAGAGCTGACCCTTCCAAATTAATTATAAGTTCACAAGCACCCAATTTACTTCAAAATCTTCCTTAATAAATGCAGAGTGGAGCAATAAAACGAAAAGCAAGGGCTAAGCAGGAACCTCATGGGACTGGCTGGGCTCTCATCTCAACTCCGGGCAAACAGACGGGAGAGGGGAAGGGAGAGGACCCCCCTCTCCAGCTGAATTTCTTGGTTATAAACACAAGGCACAGTGGAACGAAAGTCCCTCTAATAGGATTAGGTGGCACGGATCCAAGGAGCCGTCCAAACCAGCTCCGAGAGGGGGTGAGGGGTGGGAGCCACGCCAAGATGGGAAAGGCTCGTTAAATTGGATAATATACTTCCAGAAATGTTCCTTCTACTCCAGCCAAGGCAGTAAAACGTTAGATGGCCCCGTCATGTTTGAAGTTTGTTATTTTTGGAAATTACTTTAAGAAACGCGGAAATAAAAGCATAAAGCGAAGAATTAAATTTAAAGGGCCAGATTCGGATCTTAATAACCCGGGGATTTACATGCAAATAGGCAGGATCAATCTCTGGCCCCAAAAATGCACACTCACCTGCAGAGATCAAAGGAAACCCAGGGCAGGAGGCTCAGCAA